TTAGAATATGCAGGTGGGGTTCCAGTGGGGGATAATAGGTGAGAATGAAAGAGCAAATCTGTTAGCCCATCGTGATGAACTGCACTAGAATTAACCACGTAGGTTTCCAGGGGAACCTCGTGGAGGTCGATCTGATAGGATATATTGCTAGCAATGGGGCAGTTAGACCCCATTACTAATAATCCCTTTTCCCCCACCAGTGAGGGATGATACGTGAGGATAAAAAGGCAGGTCAGTTATCAGCCTATCCTGATGAATTTAATGAAAATTATCCAAGATGTTTTTCAGGGAGAATTGGGTGAATGTCAACTTCGTGAAGTTATACTGCATGATGTAATTTATATAAATTAGATTTTTTTTTATACAACTTAGAATAGCAAACAAGCTAACGGCCCACCTGATGTAAAGTAGTGACCGTCACCTATAGACATGAGCAGTACCATGGACATAACAGAGAATACTGTTTCGCCCATGATACCCACCATACGTTGCCATTCCTAAGGACTCAGGTGTTATTCCTCTGTACCCAGTAAATTTACGCCATATCCCAACCTTCAAACCGAAACACAGTCATGCAAACACAACTGCTTCACGGTTGAAACACGAATGGGACAGAGGTACCCAAGCAATCAACTTTTGTACAAAGTCTCCCTCCTCAAATATTTATAAGAGCAAATTCGTTAGTATGAGACAGAAATTTCCCAAAGAGGGTTGACGTCAGGCTGGCGGCTGGTCGTAAAACTATAAGCCAAATCTTTTTGTAATATGGATAAAAACATATTACGCCGACCCCAAACAATAATTGGGATAATGGTACGAAGGTGATGAGACAGAAATTAACGTAAACTAGGTAAAATCATTAAGTAAAAGTTAACACAGCCAGAATATTCCGGCGTAGAATGGGCCTCTCCATCTTTTATCGCGGGCATTGTGGTTAATACTCGGGATTTTTTGCCCGGTCTGCCACTACGAGTACACGCTTCCCGTTCTCGTATTTATAAAAAAATTTAACTTCCAGGTGTAGACACCGCGGAAGCGAAGTGACAGTTTTTGCTTGCTCATCTCCGAAAATCTAACTAATTAACCGGTCGACACTAAACTGGACATAATTAATTCTTACGGTCTACAAAACAAGGACTGTTTTTTCAACCGACTTCAAAAAGGAGGTATTCAATTCGGTTGTGTTTTTTTTACGCTTGTCTTACCTCTTAACTTCGTCAGTTGTGAACCGATTTGGGAAATTCTTTCTTCTATCTGAAAGGACATACTTACAGATTAGTCTTATAGAAATTTTATCGAAATAGGTTCAGCAGTTTAGTTTTTAAATCAAAATAATAAGGTTTTGCCACAAATAAACTAAGTTTCTTTGTACAATACAATGTTTCACACTTTTCGTTTGTCTATCTATCCTATTTAAGAGCTGCGCTCTTGTCGGTGAAGCTCTTGCCACTCACTACGATTTACAGCGAGTCTCATCACCTTTTGATACGACACGACACCAACTCCTTGATCTCTTGATCTGTCTATGTGACTAATGCCTTGGTCAAGTGTCCCAACATTTTTACCCCTCCTTCCTTCTATCTTTTTTTTTTTTACCTTCTATTATAATGTTTATAAAATTGTCGTGTCGTATCAAGTGTCCTAACATTTTTTCCCCTTCTGTCCTCAATAGTTCTTATAATTTGTCTCTTTTCCTTAACCCTAAGCAGGATCTCCTCATTGCTAATTCGATCTCTCCAGCTAATTTTCTCCATCCTTCTCCAGTACCACATTTCAAAGGCTCTAACTTTATCCATTTCTTTCTGAGTCAGTGAAGTTTCGTTTGTAGTAGTCACACATCACAGAATAGAGTATTTTTTTTCTGTTTTAGCTATATTTGGATTTCATAATATAATCAAAAATAAATAAAACGAATAAATGTGACATTATTTTTGGAGCATATTGTTTTTTATAATTAAATAATAACTAGTAATATATAATATAATTAAGCTTGTTGTGATAATCACCTTAAAAAGATGGCTTCTTGACAAGTGTTTCTACATTGTAAATAATTTTACAATGTAGAAGACTTTGTACAAAAGTCGAAGAAGAACAGTGTACTCTGTTATGTTCATGGTACTGCTTATGTGTATAGGCGACGGTTACCACTTTCCATCAGGTGGACCGTCAGCTTGTTTGCCATTCTAAAGTTGCATAAAAAAAAAAGAATGGAATAAAATCATAATTCATATATCTTCAAATCATAATTATTTTTTTATTAATGGGGCTGTTAAGGGGTGTTATAAAAAAAATGTTTTAATAAGTAATTGCACAAACAAGCATGCGGCTTACCTGATCGTAGGTGACTAATTATTATTATTTTCAAATATGAATTATTTAATAATTAAAATAACATTGTACGTGCGAGTTTATTTATTTTAAATTTTAAATTAATTACTAAATAAAAAATATTATATGTATAATATAATTTTTAAGCTTAATATTAGTTGAATATAGAATTGTCTAATTATCTATACTTATAATAAATTATAAGAGAGTATTTTACATGAAATATATTTCCAAAATAAAAGTGGTTGATTAAAGCTGACACGATACTGATGACTTAAAAAAAATGCATTTCTCACGTTTTCCCAACATTTTCCTTCACTGCTCTGCTCCTATTGATCGTAGCGTGATGAAAAGTATACTATAACCTGTCCAGGAGTATGAGGAATAATTGTACCAAGTTTCGTTATAATCCGCCGAGTAGTTTTTGTTTCTATAACGAACATACAGACAGACAGACAGACAGACAGAGAAAAAATTTACTGATTGCATTTTTGGCATCAGTATCGATCACTAATAATTATTTTGGAAATATATTTCATGTACAGAATTGGCCTCTCTACAGATTTATTATAAGTATAGATAACTGGCTACGTACTCTATTGCAAAATTGGTTTTAATTTTATACTAAAACGAACGAATCTGGACACTGATCCAATCACCCCAATTACATTTGAGTCGACCAAAATAACCCATTGTTGCTTTGTTGGGACAATTTGCCCGTCAGTCTAATGCAGAATTTTGTTTCGGTGAATTAGCTAATTATTATTAAGTTGTTCTATTTGGCATTGCTTTGGCGGTTATAGAGTTAGAAATATTGAGACATGTCTTATACTCTAATAGACTCCCAAAAGATGTTTCTCAATTCATTTTTTTTATACTAATATAGTGGCAAACACACGGCCCGTCGGATGGTAAACGATCTTTGTAGCCTATTAATGCATGCAACACTAGAGGTGTCACGTGCGCATTGTCGACTCGAAGGAAGCCTAATAGATCCTTTTTGAAGAACTCCGTACGAGTTCTATGAGTTGATTATTTTAAATAATCATTTTGAATGTATGAAAATTAATATAAATATAATTCAAAATGTTCCCAGATATTGGTATGAACGTAATTAATGAAAATATATACATATCGTCATAGTCGTAGAATACTGACGGATCTGACAAATATTACATATAAAGATCCGTCAGTATTCTACGACTATGACGATATATGATTATTATTGTAACGACCTGCATTTCGCCTTATCAGCAGGTAATTTTATTATATTAATGTTTTTCTTACATTAGCGTGCTTGTTTCCAAAATACATACAAATAAAATAAAATCAAAATATCAATTATTCACTGATTAATTTCAAATCAATTAATTTCAAATAACTATTGACTATAACTTTGGCAGATACACTTTTTGTGATATTTTTAAATTCTCGAGAAAACAAATGACTTCATGAAGAAATAGTTAAAAAAATTTGGACTTATTCAAACGGAATTTTTGTTAAAAAATTTAATGTTAATCATACAACAATAAATGATGTTAGACGCAGAATTAAATGTGGATCTTATGAACTATTTTTAAAGAATTTAACTAATTCAGTTAACGAATACCCCATAACAAATTATTAAATATGGAAAAATTAAATAAATTCTTAGCCAACAGTAGAACAGGGTAATTATACGAGCAAATGGTGGTGAAATGGCACCATTATGCCGCGTTCGCAGGAAGTGAAAGCTCACTGCAACCGAGTTGACAGGTTGGCCGAGCCGATTTATAGATTAATGATATGTCAGTGGACTTTCTAGGGTTACACTTTTCTAACGGTCTTCGTATTCCTGTTTCCTTATTTATTTATCTTTGGTTCAGATATCTTACGGTTTTTTAATTGGATCAAAATGCAATGCAATTTTTTGAGGAGGAAAAAATGAGGTATGAGGTGGGTTGGTAGACATTTTGATAAAAATACCCGAATATACTTTTGACTTTTCAGAAATATACATGTTTCACTAATCTGAACTAATGTTATGATATGGGCTTGAATAATGAAATTACAGCCTATCTAAAATATATTTATTTCTTAATATATGCATTTTTTTATTGAATCAAAATAACACCTGCGCTGTTGTTATAAACTGCCTGGTTGGCATCAATGACAGATGAAAGTGAAGTCTAGTAAGTTTACTCTATCGTTATGAATTTGTCAGGCATTGTTGTCGATGGTTTCTAAGGGGTGGGGTGGGAAGACGCTGGTCCTTTTAGTTTTATACTTTTCCTTACGAAGCAGCGTGGCTTTGCGGATTATTCTGTGTATAGAAGTCGAGTTAAAATGTGACCGATACCAAAAACTTTGTGATCATCAAATTTCAGTTTGATGATGATGAAAAAATTAAATTAAATATACCTATTCAATCAATCCTGATCTTGATAAGGTCATCAGAGATGTTCAACGTATGCCGTATGCCATGCAACGTATGTATAAATGTTACATAGTCATAAAATAGTAATAAAATACTAAATTCACTAAAAATTTAATTAAAAACAGACTGACAACCATCCCCATTTGTTTTCTGCATGTGTACTCGTATGTATACGTGTATTTAAGAATTATGATTACTTATGGGTGCCGCCTCTACGCGTACTTAGTACAACGCAGTTGACAATGCCACGGCCGTTGCGGGCAGTGCGCCTCTGACATCGTGGCGCGCGGTCAGCGACATCAACACCGGCGCAAACGGGCATTTCGAAAATTCGAAATTCGAACGTGAAGTACATGGTGCAGTGAATAAAAGATAGTGCCATAAAAAAAAATGGTTTGCAAAGTGACGCCAAGGATGGACACCCGTAAGTTTATAAATTGTTTTATTTATTTTTTTTAACATTTATTATTATTTTTTTTTTTATTATATTCACATTGAATATGGTATAGATATTTTTTTAATAATAAAAATATACCGAATGTTTAGCTAGTTAATATTTCTTTTTATAAAACTAAAAATATATTTTTAAAGAACTTTTTACCTGAGTCGATATGACAACATTTTCACCATTTAATTCTCACACGACTTTTTGGCGGTTCTGTTACCTTGTATTTGTTACTTTTTGGCTGATGGCTTTCGTCAGTCATAATAAATGAAAAAAAAAAAAACTTTTTGGCGGGAAGTTGAACTGAGCGGGCGATTTACATTTTCTCTTTTTTATTTTCAATTTTATTTCTAAATATTTTGTATATTTGTGTATTAAGTACTATTTGTAGACAGTTTGTAATATATAGTAAAGAAAATGAGTGTAAGTAGCGATAATTATAAAATTACAAGAGACAGTTTCCAAAAAATCACAGCGTTGATTGTATAGTCTACGTAGAATCAACGCAAGACGAGTAATTAGGAAATAAAAATCCTATGGCTTTGACTAAATTATTCACAAAAAATGTAAAGGGTACCGTAGGAGTTCATCGAGTGAACGCCCATAAAATTGGCGTCACATTCAGAAAACTGGCACCAGCTAATAATTTCCTTAAAATGGACCATTTTTTTTAAATAAAAATAAATTTCGATCTTTTGTACCGGCATATTTATCGGAAAAAACTGGCGTTATCCGATATGTGCCGACGGATATGTCTAATGAAGATATATATAAAAATATTAGCTGCGACGTAGAAGTAATTTCTATTAAACGTTTTATGAGAAAAGTCGATGGGATACTTACACCTTTAGGTACAGTTGCTGTCACATTTGCTGCAACAACATTGCCACAGCGTGTCGACATTCAGTTGTTCAGATACCCTGTGAATACTAACATTCCACCATTTATTTTTATGCGTGAAAACGGTATGGTAACCCCGCCTGCGCTAACGGGATACGCTGACGGAGCACCAGTGAAGGGTGATAGATGAAAATGAAAACAGGCCAGTTAGCCCATCATGATGAATTCATCAGGAATTAACCAAGATAGTTTCCAGAGAGAATCGCGAAGGGGTTGATCTGGTTGGGTATATTGCTTGCAATGGGATTCTCAGTCTCCATTATTAACAATCCTTTTCCCTCCACATTCCACCATTAGTTCAATGTTTCAAATGTCTGAAATTTAACCATTCAGCCAAAGTTTGTCGAGCTGTGCAGATGTGCTCATCATGTGCTGGTCAGCACTTATATAAAGAATGTAATGTTGACACGATAATGTGTATTAATTATGGCGGCAATCAACTAGCTGTTTCTAGAAATTGTCCCATTAAAAGGAAGAAAATGGAAGAAAAGAGAAATAAGTATCTCAATCTTAGTTATGCCACTGTTGTGAGTATACCTTTAAATGTTTCAGACTCAAAAAAAACTCGAAGAAAATCCAGTGATGTATATAGCTCTCAGTTAAATTTAAATGTAAATAAATTTGTATTAAATAAAGATAAAATTGTAAATAATGATATTACAATTAATGCTCTTGTTAAGTCTCTTGCACAACAATGAGTAAATGTCAATAACTCATAAGAAAATTAATGAAGTATTATTGTCTAATTTAGCTTAGTTTTATAGATACATACATAAATATATGTTAAATAATGTTTATATGTCCAACCAAAACTAAATATTGAAACATGCAAAATTTCGGTTAAATTGTATAATAAATTACCCACTGCATTAAAAACTATTAAAGATTGGAGAATTTTTAAAATAAAACTTTATACTCTTTTGTTGGAGAGGTGCACCTACTCAATTGATGAATTTTATAATACTCTTTCATTATTTTATGCCTTACTGATGACTTTTAAATTGATTGTAATGTTATTTTTGACAATTATTATTGGTTATTTTGTTGCTTCATACTTTTTTTTTGTTTTGTTATATTTTACGATATCTTCTTGTCACTTGTAAAAATATTCAACACAATGCAATATTGTAACGAATAAAATAAATTGAATTGAATATAGCATAATTTAACATACAAAGCTTACAGAGTAAAAAAGTTCTGTTACAAAAATATCTTACTGAACAAAATATTGTTATATGCTTACTTAATGAGATATGGTTTAAAAGTAATAGTAAAATCTCTAGGTTTGCATTATATAATTTTATTTTGTAAAATTCTACAAATCCACACAACGGAATTAGTATATTAATTAAGAAAAATTTTAAATATAATATTATTAATACTACTTTCTTTGAAGTTGCTCAAAATTTATGTATCTCAATAGAAACATCTATTGGTAAATTACATATTCTCTGTGTATATTGTCCCCCTAGTGGAAAGTTTCACACCAATAATTTTTTTTTTTTACAACTTAGAATGGCAAACAAGCTGACGGCCCACCTGATGGAAAGTGGTAACCGTCGCCTATAGACATGAGCAGTACCACGGACATAACAGAGTATACTGTTTCGCCCATGATACCCCCCATGCGTTGCCACTCCTGAGGACTCAGGTGTTATTCCTATGTACCCAGTAAATTCACGCCATATCCCACCCTTCAAACAATGCAATGAAACACAGCCATGCAAACAATCTGTCATTTCTTAATCTGACGCGCTCGAGTTTTTCCAGAGGATCGATGTTTTTTACTAATCTAACGGGTTCCCTTGAACACACCCCCCTATATTAAGGGTTCAAACTTTATAAAATTATATTAAAGGGTACAAGGATTTTCTCTATATAATTATCTAACACACTCGAGTCACTGCAAAGATCCCCGCTTCGCGTCCCCTACTTTTAGTTTTTTAGTTTATTAGTGACATAGCGATGGAACATTCACAATGCGTTCCCCGCCGCGTTCAAGAACAAAGAACGAAGTTCCAACGAAGCTTATTTTACGCTTGTTTTTAACTTCATTACTAATACTGTAGATAAAAATTTAGAATTTTTTACGTTATCAATATTGTTAATCGTTTTTATATGGTAATTTGTACTATATTCTCTTTTTTTGTAAATACCATTTATGTCTGCGACTGATGGACTTGTATCCATGGTCATTAATAAATTAAAAAAAAAAATTAATTCTCACACAACTCAACATGAAATAATTATTTTGTGTTTTGTGTGTGTGTGTGTGTGTGTGTGTGTCTAAAAGAGATAAATATGTGTACATGGTTATTTTTTTAAGCTATTTGTACAAATTTTAATTTCTACATATTATTGTTTATACCTATAAATAGTGCAGCAAAATTGTATTTACTTAATATATTTTTATTTTGCTTATTTATGTATTTGTATTGTATTTTGTATTGTGAAATCTTTATTGTACATAATTCATATCGAATACATTAAATGATTATAACATTAATACATAAATAAATAAAAACTTACACACATAATATATATATATATATATATATATATATATATATATATATATATATATATATATATATATATATATATATATATATATATAGTCCGGTCATTTGTTTATTTGTTTATATTTTCATTAAATTCCATATTAATGAGATTAGATTTCATTAAAACAAACTAAAATGAAAAAAGATCCACTACAATAGTGGTATTTTAATTTAATCAGTTATTTTGGTTTAAAAACTAAACTACTAAACCAATTTTAATAAAATTTTATCGAAAATTTTAAAAGTACACTATCCGTAAAAAGAATTATCCGAACCGGTTTACAAATGGCGGTGTTATGAGGTAACAAACATAAAAAAAATTAGAACCTCCTTTTTTGAAGTCGTTTGAAAAGTGACTACAATCATAAACGCATCCATAAACGACGCTACGTTTCGTAGATGCATTGCAAGGGGTAGATAGATAGATACTCTTAATTGTTTCCTTCAAAAGATTAGAATAGTAAGAAAGAAAGAAAGAAATATTTATTTTGTGCTTATTTTCACACGTAATAACAAAAAACATTTAACAATAAACAAAAATGAAAAAGCACTAATATGGTGTCACTCAGCTATATGCCATGTTCATTCGAACATGACGCTGATTTTCAGTAAACTTATTATAAATACAATAGTGTCCGACCGAAACAGGTTTTACAGCTGACACCAAAACTTACTGAAACATATTTAAAATTTCTATATTGAAATCTAGTGTAATTTTTACACAATTATTTACACAAACACACACTAAAAACCAAATCTTTTTGTAATATGGATAAAATCCTATTACGCCAACCCCAAATGATTGGGATAAGGGTAGGAAGATGATGATGATGATGATTTACACAAACACACAGATAGTTAGAGGGTAATAATAAACACTAATTAAAATATGTAATAAATATGTCATATATATTTATATGTAAAAACATATTAAAATTATGACTTACTCATGGAAGTAAACTTAAAAAAAAAAAAACTTTCTGTTAGACACACACACAACACAAACACACACAACGTTTCGGCGCTGCCGAAAGTTTCGGTTAATTTTCGGCCGAAACCGAAACTAAGGCCGAAAGTAGAATTTCTGGCCGAAAGTAGCCGACACCGAAATCGAAAGTTAGGTCGGACACTAAAATGCAAACAATTACAAGAATATATTACACTGAGAAAACAATGGGCGGCCTTATCGCTAAAAGCGATGTCTTCCAGGCAACCTTTGGATGGAGAGGAGTAATTATAAACAGTTTGATTTTGGTTTTGGTCTATTGCTAATATCTGAACACTGCGGTATACACTATCGATTAAAGTTTTTTTTTTTAATGAATGATAATGGAATGGTAAACCCGCCTGCGCTATCGGTATACTCTGGTGGGGCACCAATGAAGGATGATAAGCGAGAATGAAAAATTAGCCCATCGTTACGAATTCAACGATAAATTAGTCACGATGGTTTCCAGAGAGGATCATGTGGAGATCGACCTGATAACGTATACATATTGCTAGGAATAGGACTGGTAGTTCGCATTATTAACTATTCTTTACCCTCTTTTACAATTCCCTACGACTGTCGCGCAGAGAAATTCCGAGCATAGCCCTAATAAATATATACATATAATAAATACATACAGAGATAAATACGTAAAATATTACTGTACATAACCTTCAAGAAAAGAGCATATTCCTTTTTAAAAGGCCTGCAGCACACCTGCAATGCCATAGGTGTTGTAGGTGACCATGGGCGGCGGTAGTCACTTACCATCAGGTGAGCCGAATTCTCATTTCCCCCGTTATAAAAAAAAAAAAAAACAAACAATCAACTTTATTTATTTATATAAATAAATAAATACATAAAATATTACTATACCAAACAATTACCTGTATTAGAAGAGCACATAAAACAATCTATGACTGTTACGCCATCTATGAGTGGCCCATTTCATTGGCTTCCCTAATTCTGGATTCCCCGCGTGTAAATAGCTCGTTTCTAATACACATTTGCAAAGATCCATGCCGCTACCAACAATTGTCCTCTAATAATCTATTGTAATTCTGAATGCTATAACAATGATACGTAAACAATTGTGTAAACCTGTGGCAGTGGAAAACTTCGTGTATGTTCAGAAGATGCCATCGATTAGTGCCCCCCACACTTGTGCAATGTAGTAATAGGAGATGTAATGGTATGCGACAAACACCATGGAATTATTTATATATATATTTATAACAACAAAGAAAATATGAACTACACCAAATCCTTAACAGTGCAAGCTGCTAGACTCTGGAATTCCCTCCCAAATGATTTTTTTATACAACTTAGAATGGCAAACAAGCTAACGGCTCACCTGATGGAAAGTGGTAACTATCGCCTGTAGACATGAGCAGTACCGTGGACATAACAGAGTATACTGTTTCGCCCACTATACCCCCCATGCGTTGCCATTCCTTTGAAGAAATTCAAGACCATATACATTATTGTTTTAATCTGTCCCATTCGGACATGTTATCTATACTTATTATTATAAAGTCTCCATCTGGTAGATACGATTTGATGATACGAAAATGGCGCAGACTGTTAATGCCTTCAAAGCTCAAACAAAAAGATTTTACGATACAATTGATGTTTGAGTTACTTATATATATAATAGTTATTCTATGTTTATATATCTTTAGTTTTATTTATATATGTGAAAAATATCATTATGTGAAAAATATTAAAATGTGTGTGTGAGCGAAGCATCAGTGAAAAGTGTTGCAAAAACGGGGAAAATCATTCATATTTGAGGGCTTCCGTTGCGTGCGCTGCGTAAACGGTTTAAGTTACCCAAAAATATGTATGAAAAAATTATTAAATTTTAAATGATCTACAAAAATATCCGCTACAGTATATGTTTATCTTTTAAGATTTATCTGACGCGGACGAAGTCGCAGACAACAGCTAATATTAAATATGTTAATTTTTTCATTTTTTTAAACTCGATAAACTATTACCTCTCTTTAGGTCTGGGAATGATTCTGAACTTGGCAACTATAGACCGATAGATAGATAGATAGATAGATAGATACTCTTTATTGTTTCCTCCAAAAGATTACAATAGTAAACTTATTATAAATATAAATAATTACAAGAAATAATCACAATGAGAAAACAATGGGCGACCTTATCGCTAATAGCGATCTCACCGATGTCAGACACGTTAATAAAAACCTTGGTACGAGAAGCCTGAAATTTCGGTAATATACAACCTTGAGTAGTTAGAATCAATCATTCAATGAATCAAATTATTGAGTAGGCGGAACGTTCATGACGCGTGCTCTGACATTTCTCTCATGTACTTGTACTTGCAGCGGTACTTAGTTGTTTTAACAAATTCGTGTTGAGTTCTAGTGATCCTTATTTCCTGACTAAAATGCAACAGTGAAGTTTGATTGCTTGTTACCTATTGGTGTCTTAACGGCTTAACTAATCAAAAGGAAATAGGTATACAGGTGTTATATGGGATGGAAAAGGATAGACAATACTTTTAACATATCCCGGTCACGTGGATAAAGTTGCGGGTAACAGCTACTTTTTTAATGCACTTTAGAATGACAAATCAGCTGACGGAGCACCTGATGGAAAGTGGTAACCGTCGCCTATAGACATGAACGGCACCATGGACATAACAAAGTATACAGTTACGCCCATGATACCTTCATGGGTATGTCATTCCTGAAGACTAAGGTGGTATGCCTTTGTAGCCTGTAATTTCATTGTCATATCCCACAGCCTTACAAACACAACGGCTTCACGTTAGAAAAACGAATGGGACAGAGGCACCTAGGCTGAGTACTTAGTATATAGTCTCCCCATGGTTGTAGTGTAATTTCAGAATTTGGTCTGTAAGGCTTCAGGAATGGCAGCATCTGAAGACTGATATATGAGATACATTTTACTTTTTTAATTGCCAATAAATAAGTTAAAATGTACGTATAAAAACTTTCATGAAAATGTTCCCATTCCGACTCGAAATGATAGTAAAAGATTTTTTCTAAATTTTTATATTTTTCTTACAGCTACACATAGGAGTGTTAATAATGAAACACAAGACGTCCAAATGCAGGAAGTGGTCGACTATGAAACTGCTCTGGATTTAGCCGGTACGTAACTCATTATACCTTTTTTACCCGACTTCTGTATATAAAGAATGTAGCCTAGACACTCTTGGCACTGGATACCCTCACACGTTCGGAAGAAAGTATGGAAATGTATTTATAATTAGTAATTAAGAACTGACAACCGATGGCGAAGAAAAGTTATTGAGTGGCGACCACGTATGGGTAAACGCAGTGTAGGACGACGTCTACTAGATGGAGTGACGACCTGAAATGCGTTGCAAGGAGTCAGTCTTTATGGCAATCTATGGGGAAGGCTTATGTCCAGCAGTGGACGGATAATGGCTGAAGTGATGAATGATGAAAGCTATTTACCGCAGTTTTGTCCGCATGAATCAATACATACAGTAACCTATCTACATACATAAAGTAACCAATCAGTCATCTACTAGAGGGAGACTTTGTACAAAAGTCGATTGCTTGAGTACCTCTGTCCCATTCGTGTTTCTACCGTGAAGCAGTTGTGTTTGTATGGCTGTGTTTCGGTTTGAAGGGTGGGATATGGCGTGAATTTACATGGTACAGAGGAATAACACCTGTGTCCTCAGGAATGGCAACGTATGGGGGGTATCATGGGCGAAACAGTATACTCTGTTATGTACATTCAAAGTTGTATAAAAAAAAACACAAATACCAACAGACATAGATAGACATATACAAAAGAAAAGAGACAAAAAATACATAAGTATACGAAAAAAAGGTAACTGCAAAAAAGTGGTAACATATTTTGTCATTTTATGGGTGTGCCATAGTAACACAAAATGATCACAACTCAGTTATTTGCTTTGCTCTTAAAAGAGCAAAACACTGATATTCTATTATGGCCAAAAGCGAATAAATTAACAATAAAATAAAATAATCTATTATTTTTATAATACACAATAATACGACAGTTCATCTAGCATGTAAATAAAACGTGAAAGTAACTTAAAGCAATATCTAATCTTTGATTTCCAATTAAGTATTCTTTTTAATTAATTTTGAAGGTAAACGTAATGGTTTTTGGATGATTTATATTGAATCAATTGTGTGAGTGTGTGGAGTTTGTATGGAAAAGTCACAAGCATAGATTGTTGTATAAAAAAACAAGCGTTTTCAGTAGTGTCGGCATCGGACGATGTGATGCTTTGAAGATACCTACCCACATTCCAAATATTGCGTGTTTACGTATGTAGATGTAGATTTTTGTGAAATATTATTATTTTTATTACTTACTAGCCGTTTCCCGCGGCGTTGCGCGCTTCTAACTATGTAGTTCCCGTATATCATTCCCATTTGAACTTTCATGAATTTGGTCTTATAGATAGATAGATAGATAGTCTTTATTGTTTCCTCCAAAAGATTACAATAGTTAACCTATTATAAATATAAATAATTACAAGAAATAATCACAACGAGACAACAATGGGCGGCCTTATCGCTAAGAGCGATCTCTTCCAGGCAACCTTTGGATGGAGAGGAGTAATTATAAATAGTTATATTGTATTATAATACTTAAATGATAATTACGTACTTAATACCTTCATAAAGTTTCAGCCAATTCAACTGATCGGTTATTTTATAGCATTTTATATGTGATTTTTTTTTAGATTGACATAACTTTTTTATTTATGAACCGATTAAAGTAAAACAAACAATAAATGTTAAATGGAGCAAACCGCAGTACATTAGTGAAAACCGTATTCAAATCGATTGAGCCGTTTCTGAGATTAGTGTGCACAAACATGACAGATGTACAATATAGACAAATAGACAAATAAATAGACAGACACAAAAATTCTAAAAGTCATTGTTTTAGGTTCTATTATATTAGGTTCTAGGTTATATTGTGTTCATAAAGCCCACTATAATAGTTTTTTTTTTATATATCTTCCATGTACGGACAGCGAACAGTTACGATTTTATTACATGTATGTTTAGATGGATATATTTATTTGCGGTGTAGTTCCGGCATAGAATGGGCCACTCCTTCCTCTTCCGTGAATGTTTTTTTTTTATATAACTTAGAATGGCAAACAAGCTAACAGCTTGTTTGCCATTCTAAGTGGTGGGATATGGCGTGAATATACTGGGTACAGAGGAATAACACCTGAGTCCTCAGGAATGGCAACGCATGGGGGGTATCATTGGCGAAACAGTATACTCTGTTATGTCCATGGTACTGATCATGTCTATAGGCGACGGTTACCACTTTCCATCAGGTGGGCCGTCAGCTTGTTTGCCATTCTAAGTTGTATAAAAAAACATTTTATGTATTTTCTTTATTTTATGTGTTTGCTTTACATGTATTACTCGAGCTGTGCACATAATGTGATTGGATTATAACCTAGCCGAATCACAAATGTAGCTATTATTTAAGTGTGTTTTTTTTTCATAGTTGTGATCTGTTTTATGTGGCAATAAAATAAAATAAAAATAAAATTGAGTATCTCCTTTCGGATGTCGGTTGAGAACGTGATAAACCTGTAACGTTTACGTGACAGCCGCCTCACCACACCTCCCACTATCCGTCGCGTTCAGTGTTCCTCCATTGAACGACAGCAATACGTGACATTACATTGTTTACCTACGCACCACAATGCGTCTAATGACGTGAACATACGTACGTGTGATAGAAACTGTTTATTATTGATTCGTATTGCATTTACGTAATTCTAATATTCATTACCTAGCTTGTTTCTAGGTGAGAATGAAAAGGCAAATCAATGTATTGTATGAATAAGGAAAGGAAATGGTGAATATATATAACAATAACTAGGTCAAAGTATACCTTGTATATAGGTCATGAGCTTTTGCAAATTTTCTGATGTTCATTAATTTTAGAGACAGATCGAAGAATTAAATTTCTTACTAATGTAGAAAAATTGTAACAAAACGAATTATACTTTGAATACGATTTATGTATATATATATATATATATATATATATATATATATATATATATATATATATATATATATATATATATATATATATATATATATATATATATATATATATATGATACCGCCCATGCATTACCATATATAGTAAATTCACGCCATATCCCACCCTTCAAACCGAAACAAATCCATGCAAACACAACTGCTTCACGGTAGAAACACGAATGGGCAAGCAATCGACTATTGTATAAAGTCTCCCTCTGGTATATATACATATACATATATACACGGGAAATATAAACCTCTAACATCTAAAATTACCCGCATTCTAGCAAAATAAAATCATTTCATTTCATAGAATAAATTAATTTATTTATTTAACTCTTTATTGCACCAAAAAACATAAAAAAACAATGGCATATAAACAATTCAAGTGAAATACAGTAGCATGAAGTACAGGTTAAAATAACATATACATATAAAGGTACAAAAGGCGGTCTTATCGCTAGGGCAATCTCTTGCAGACAACCTTTGGTTAAAAGAAAATAGATAGAAGTGGGTAGGTGGCGTAAGAATAAAAAAACAACCATATTGAGTTTTTACAAACAGTTTTTTTATGTGTTCAATTGACACCCCCATTGGTACCCCCGCTTGCGTTGTCAGTATAATTATCATACTTACATAAAAATTTTTTTTTAATCCCATTAAAAAAAAAATATTGTCATAATCTTTGTCAGGTCAGTTACCACTATCAGCTAGTTTGTCATTTCATATCTATATGCATGTATATGATAACACGAGTACTGCTTCCTACAGGACAGGCTCAGCCTAGTGTAGGAGGCAATGATAAATTCTGTGCTAATACAAACATACTTTGTTAAATAAATAAATAAATAAAAAAAAATATTCATCCACATCGTCTCAGCCATTATCTGTCCACTGCTGGACATAAGCCTCCCCCATAGACCGCCATAAGGAACGGTCCTGAGCCACCTGCACCTACTGGCTCCTTGCAATGCATTTGAGGTTGTCACTCCATCTAGTGGGGGGTCGTCCTACAGCGTCCTGTGCGTTTGCTCGTACGGGGTCCCCACTCAAGAACCTTTCTTTTCCATTGGTTGTCGGTTCTTCGAGCTATGTGACCAGTCCATTGCTATTTTATGTTGCATAAAATAAAATCTAATGTAATTTTCAATACGAGCGAGCTATGACCGAATCAATGGGTGTTGTTATCAAAAACACGCTCTGGTATTCAACTTGGGTCATAATGTTATTAATAATAATGCATGGGATTACAATAACATTGGGTGTTTGTATTTTATCATGGAATTCGCTATGTTGTACCTTTAATGCCTACACCATTCCTCTGCGACTTCAAAACGGAAGGAAATCTTAAATTTGGGATTCTAAACTTATTAGTAATGGGGTCTAACTGATTTAATACTAGCAATACACCGTATCAGGTCGACCTCCATGCGGTTCCTTCTGGAAGCCATCGTTGTTAATTCCAGTGGAATTCATCAGGATGGGCTAACTGACCTGCTTTCATCGTCACCTATTATCCTTCACTGATACCCCGCAGAGTATACCGATAGTGCAGGCGTTGTTACCATTGCATTTTTATCCCACTGAAAAAAAGGGTAAGACTAAATACCAACTATAAGATTTTTTTATGGAACTTAGAATGACAAACAAGTTGACGGCCCACCTGATGGAAAGTGGTAACCGTCGCCTATAGACATGAGCAGTACCATGGACATAACAGAGTATACTGTTTAGCCCATGATACCCTCCATGCGTTGCCATTCTTGAGGACTTAGGTGTTATTCCTCTGTACCCTGTAAATTCACTGCCAGATCCCACCCTTCAAACCGAGACACAGCCATGAAAACACAACTGCTTCATGTCCAAACGACTTTTGTACAAAGTCTCCCTCTGGTAAAATAAAAGAAAAAACTCATTAATGACTCATAGGTCCCTAACTTCTTATAAGATTGTTAATAGTACCCCAATATCCTAGTTTTAGTTGCGTGCGTGGTAGTACAATCACCTTTGCGTGTTTAGCGCCCCCTATTAGTGACGTACCCTGATAATATAATGTA